AGATGAAAGCATTAGAACGGCTAAAACGATTAGTCAAATTGCAGTGGATAAAGAAATTCATGCTGATCAAGGAGCATCCGACATGAGGGAAGGTGACGACCCTAATATAAAGGATCAAAAGAGTGAAAAGGGTAAAAGCGTAACAGTCCATGGTAAATATACCGAAACTGAATGTGGTAAAGTTGGAGTCTATTATGGTGTTATGTCAAGAGAATATTGTGAATATGTGAATGTCGTAGACGAAACTATTGCATTAATTAACTCGGAAAACATTAACATCTTTAACAGAAGCAGAGTCTCATCAGAAAGGTTCAGGCATGTATATACATACAATATACCCACATCGTAGACAGTATTTGTTTATTTACATTCATATTTTTTCTAACACTTTAGACTCTTCTTTCGACTCGGTATCACCAACTCCCTCTCCACCCAACGGCTACCAGTCGTCAAGTCGAATAGCTCAATTACATGATGGTGATGATCAACTCGACTTGGAAATTAGCCTCTATGACAATGATTCGGGTTCACCAAACAATGTGAGAAAAATTCTTTGGTTTGTCTATCGACTTGTTTGAAAACTTCCTATCTTGACTGATAATTTGATTGACAGGCATCGCCTACAGGCGCCGGAAAGTTTTCTCTTCTGAAAGGACGTCGAGAAAAGCCGTGAGTGTGATAAATGATGCAAGCATGTATTTCGGATGTTGCTCAAGACTAATTTTTATTTCCGCTTTTGTAATTTCTAATATAGGGAAAAGGTGGACATATTTTATAGACGTCCATATGATTGCATTTTCTTTTCTTGACCTTTATTAATGCCAACTTTCTTATTACGCTTTTAAATCTCAGGCAGCGTCATATGCACATTTGTTGGTGCCTGGTAATGGACTAGAGTACCTATCCATTTTCACTTTATTTGAATACACCACCTAGCTTCGCCCAATTCGATGTTCACAACTTTTACTTTTCTCTCTTTTTACGTTTTATTAGTTCCGATGAGTATAATCCAGTACTGCTCGATGATCCCACGCTGAAAATGGGACGACGACGTCGTATGATCAGTCTCCTTCCCTTTATGGTAAGTTTAAGAATAATCATTGGTATATTAGAACTATTGATAACGCTGCATTTTAATATGTCTTTAGGGATCAAATACTCAATACACTCGATCGTCGGAGCAGAAACGCGAAGCAAACGAGAAATTTCGTAAACGACATCCTTATTTGGATCCAACGATGTCTTTAAGTAAAATTAGAACCGTTAAAGAAAAGTTACTATTGG